AAACAAAAACAAGTATATTTCCAAACACATCCAATATGTTTGGTAGGAGGGAGGAAGAGAGTGCAGAGGGTTAATCTCTTGTTTGTGTAAGAAGGAAAAAAAAAAAAGAGGAGAGACAAAAGGAGAGACTCTCTCTCATAGTCCATAATGCGATTAAATTAACACTAGCAAATGCACCAATCGTTCAAGTAATAAAATGATGAGTCAGATATCGTTTCCCAATGAGGATTGATAAAATTCACAAATAAAGTGATTAAACTGACTATGTTATTTGAGATTGTGAAATTTGGAGTAATGTGAATTAAAACTAAATAAAGATTAAAGATTAGAAAAATATAAAGATGCAAGATTGAAGAAAGAATTCAACGAGAGAAAACGTTAGAGAGTTGATTTCACTTACACCTATTCGTCCATAAGCTCAAAAGAATGAATTTCAATTATTATTAACCATGAGATGGTAGAAGTCCCTAATGTTTAATTATTCATATTTCGGGACTAATCGACTATCACATCTATTCTTAACTTCAAATATTCTTATTTCAGGTCTATTCTACATTAATTCAATATGAGATGCATTCGAATTTGTGGAATCCTTATTCGGTTAAATCTCCCCCTCGGTTACAATTTAAACTGACCACATGAATTTCCTTGAATCCTTATTCGGTTACCCTATTTGGTTACTCCTCATCCACTCATGGCATGTTCTATATTTTGCTTGAATATTATTCACATCCAAGATTCAATTCACAATTTAATGTTTCCTATCACATAGCTTCTCTATCCGAAACATCACTATGATCAATTCTCAAATTAAATCAATGAAAAGCCCTAAGAATAATAGAATACACTCTTCACGGAAAAACAATAAATTGCAACTCACTCAAACTGAAACACAGAAATTATAGGTTCGGATCCATCAATCTCTAACTAAAAGTATTAAACCATAACTAAATTAAATAAAACAAATAGAAGTCTGGAAGATATCACCATATAAAATCTGAAAGAAGAAAAGAAAGAACAAAGGGTAACTCCCTAATGACTGAATGTTTTCCACCAAGAATCAGCCTATCCTTCCTAGTAATCCCTCTGGGTCAATCTCCAAAAGCTCTAGCCGAATCCCTCTTGAAAAGCCCTGGGTTAATCTCTGTTTTTCTCTCCTTTCTCCCTCTGGAATATCTTCAAAAGCTCTCTGTTTCCCTCTGGAATTCCATCCAAAACCTTCTGGAATATGCAGCCAAAAATCCCATTGGAATATCCCAGTGAAAAACTCCCCCTGGAATATCCCAGTAAAAACAACTATGGAATATCCTAGTAAACACCACCATCCGTTCCTGGAATTCTCTTTTAAATATGATTCTCTCTGCCCCAAATCTCTCTTTCTCTCAGCCACTCCCTCTCTCTGGCCGGATCTTCCTCTGGTTTCCATCTTCAAACTCTTGGTTAGATAGGGTTTTGTCCACTTTAGTCGCAACTTCTTATCTTCTCCAAGGCAGCCCGCAACTCCAGCGTGTAATCTCAGGAAGCACAATATCGTGTAATCTCAAGGCAACCCCTGACTCACCATGTAATCTCAGGAAGGATGAAACACAATGTCGTATAAGCTGAGAATAATGTCCTCTGTGTGGGCTTCTGGGCTGAAATTTGGGCCTTTAATTGTGGCTTCTCAATTGACCGAGAATGACCTTTTAATTGTGGGCCTTTATCACGTGGGTTGAGACTTTGAATTTTAATTGTGGGCTTTTCTGGCGTGGGCTGAGACTTTGGCTTTTAATTGTGGGCTTTTCTGGACCTATGCTGGCAGATTACTTAATCTTTTACCCATCCTGCTAAATTAGATTATGAAGACATCTTTTTTTCAATAAAATACCTTAAAACTAGCTAATATTAAACTTGCAAGAGCTTAATAAATTGGTATAAAACCAAATCATCAAACTCCTCAAAACTTAACATTTTGCTAGTCCTCGAGCAAAAAGATGAAACAAAATAAAACAAAATCTAAAACTTGCGTCAAAACAACTGCCTAAGAATCGAATCAATTAGATGTACCAAGCAAGCCTTAAAGATTGCATAATTCTCATAATTCCAGAAAATCTCAAACCATGCAAAGTCTAGAATTTTAAACCTGGTGCAAGCCTCACCCTACCTGTGATCCCTTCAAGTGTTCAAAGAAATAAACTTTCACACTTAAACCATTGCAATCCTAATCAACTTATTCAAACCAGAATCCCTGTTTGATCTCTTAGGAGAATATATGAGTAATTTCCTGAATTCCATAAGCTTGCTTTTCTTACCACTCTCCACTAATGTCGACAACCATATCAAACTCAGATCAAAAGATCTTTATTAGGCTTGTAGCGTAATAGCGTAAGGATTAGGTGATGACTATCAAGAAAAGGATAAGGATTAAGCAAAGTCAAGAGAATCATTAAGTTAATGCACCAAGAAGGGTCTTTTTCTCTTTATTTTCTTCATGAAGAACGGATTCTTTTCTCACTTCCTAACTCCTCCAAACTTAATGATTTACATTGTCCTTGCTATTGGGAATGGTGTCCTAGAAGCATGAGATGTGATAGGATGTTTATTATTTATTTAATAAAAGAGTTTATTCATCATTTTATGTGCATATATTTATGAATATTTTATAAATATCAAATGAAAATTTCGTGATTATTTATGTGACCTTAAACATTGTATATAAATGCTATATGCGAGAGGATAATGTTTAAGGATTATAATCAAAAGGAGATGTTCGTAATGAATTTAATTAAAGTTCAGAATCTTTAATTAAAATATTATTAATACATGTCATTCCCATTTAGAATGGAACGGTGTTATCCGCACTGTTAATATAGTGAGATATTGAGTGAGTGTATTACGCATAATGAGATTATGTGGAACAGAGAAACAGATAGAATATGAATTTCTAATAATTTTCGTTAAGTATAGAAATTCTAATTGAGTCTACCGATGTCCATATATAGAATGATCTTAATCCTGAGTTCTTAACAAACTCCTATTTATGGATTTGTGTCTTTCGATTTACTCGGTACGGATTCTGAGACCCTGAATCCTATTCCTTATATTTTGGAGACATGATGAAGTAGGTAGCCGAGAAGGCTATTATACGAGATAGAATCCATTCATTCTTGAGAAAAAAGCAGATAAATAATTCTATTGAGTGTTGATTCGGTACTTGGATTAGTAAGAGCGCTCTAGTTCATGAATGTGTTTTATGAATCACTATCCATTAGAGAATCAATGGTACTCAAGGATGAAGATATAATTAGAGAGGTTAATGAATTTTACCTAGCTCTAATTATGAATTATTTATGGAGGATTGATCTATATGCAATGACTATATCAAATGGACACTTCACAGTTTAGAAGTAATTTATGTCTATAATTTTAAGAGTGCAATTCTAAGTTTATAGTGGAGTCACTATTGGAATTAATAGAATTAATTAATTAATTAAAGTGTTTAATTAATTATTAATTTTATTAGAGCTCGGGATTATAGGTCCATTAGTCCCCACGTCGTCCTTGTTATTCTACCAGACACAACGGGCAAAATAGAAATTTTAGAATTACAGAATTCTAAAATTAAACACTCAAAAATAATTAATTGAGAATTAATTATTATTTAAATAATGTGATTATTTAAATTTGAATTTGAATTGTGAACATAATTTAAATTTATCATTTTAAACATATTTGATAAGTTGTTCAATTTAGAATTCAAATTAATTTAAGTTTGACTTAAATTTGAATTTGAATTTAAATCAAAATTGAACTGCATGATAAAGGATGATTTTCTCTTCCTTCCCTATCTAATATTGGTGCCTACACAGGGATAAAATCCCCAATGAATGGCCGGCCATAATGGATAAACGATAAGAGGAAATTTTGTTCCAAATTCAAATAGAAGATAATTAACAAGGTTTATCTTGGAGATAGAGATTAGATTCCTTCTAGAGGTTTGACTTCTACTTTATAAATAAGAGAATGATAGAAAATTGTGAGACACAATTTTTGACCTAATTTTTAAAGGGTGGCCGAAATTCTCCATAGAGTGAGAGGAAAAATATTTTTCTCCAAAAAAGTTCACATCGTGCATGCGATGGTGTTTGTAAAAATTTGAGTGTTTATTCTAATCCATTGTGTCTCAGGTGTGCCCACACACACGTCTTCATGGATTCTAAGAATTGACGTGGAAGACATTGGTTTTCTAAACACAAGGCTTTGGAGCAAGGATTGTTCGAGGTCAAAGAACTCAAGTTATCATCCTAATTGGCCGCCAGGTATTATTTGTAATTAAGTTCTTAATAAATAAATTAATGTGATTAATTTATTCGTGCATAAATTAATATAATCTAAAGAATATCTCAAAGGTTTTATGAAAAATTTTGTTATACTTGATCCGCTATCCCCACGCTTTCGCATCCAAATTCGATTTGGAAACCAACACTTGCTTCTCGTAAGGTTGGGGTGTATTAATCACATCTTGCTTTTTTTTCTTTTTTTCGCGTTGACAGTAGCCTCACAAAAAAAAAATTTCTTCTTTTTCAGATTTCCCCTTCTCTATGCTATTGTTATTTTCATGAATCTCTTGAAAGGGTATTCATTGGTTTTTTTCGAGATATAGGGGTAATATCAAAGTGGCTAGAAAGAACTCAATATTTGGCTCATGATGTAACTCCTATTATTGTAATGGCTCAATGGTGTGACTAGTGGTAGACTGCATCGTGGTAGGCTTGAAAGGCTTAAACGGTCTAAAAATGGCCTAAATAATCTCTAAATTCAATGTGTTGTCTGGGATATGACCTTAAGAGGTAATCAAACAAGTTCTAGAAATTGGTGAGATCACAAAGGTTTCTAAATCAGCATAAGGTTCTCAAAAAATGCACACAGTTAAGTGGTCCTGACTATTCATTCACCTACCCTAGGCAAATCATAGGCATAACAAAACAAACACCAGATTCAAGCACACATATTCAGGGCATGATTTTCCAATTTCTAAGAACTACAACTCATTCCAATCAAAACCTTCTCAGCAATTTTAGTTCACAAACTGAATTGAAAAAAACCTGAAAAACCTCCCCCACACTTATGATTTACATTGTCCCCAATGTAACAAATGATAACAAAGGGAGGAAAAGAAGATAGATACTGCCCTGATTTTGACCGAGATTATGTTGACATGCTAGAGCATCAACATCTCCGTAAGTTCTACTTTTAACGCCCTGTGAAATCTCCAATTGTCTTATGTACTGCTACATCTACAAATAGAGAGAAATATTAACAAAAACAATAAGGAAGAAAGATAGAAAACTAGGATATAAAATGCATGAAAAAAATAGAAAACTAAAAGAATAGAGCATTTAGTTCTAAGTTATAGTCGTTAGCTTGACTTTTCTATTCATGTGTCTTGTAACACTGTGGTGACAGATTGAGGATTGAAGTTTGGAATAATCTGAATTTCCTCTCATTAATTGAATGGACCGGAAGGGTATTTATACAAAGGCAAAAGATAAGATCTTATCCTAAGAGACCTCCTAGATATTAGGAACTACTTTACACATTTATAGGGATGAGCTTACAATAGATCCTTAGCTATTATCCCACGATTCTAGGAGCCTATCACTTATCTAATACTCGGCTAGTTTGAATTTCAACACTCCCCCTCAAACTAGGCGGTATATACTCATTAGACCTAGCTTAGAGCTCAGTTCCGTGAAGTTGGGCCTGAAGAGGGACTTTGTAAGAATGTCTGCAACTTGATGTTGTGATGGAACATGACTCAGTGATATGATATTGCCTTCTATTTTCTCACTGATGAAGTGTCTGTCAATCTCCACGTGTTTCATCCTGTCATGGTGGACGGGATTCTTGGCAATTGCTATGGCTGATTGGTTATCACACATCATCTGGATTGGTCCTGAGATGGCAATTTTGAGTTCATCCAGTAGTCGTTTTAGCCATATTCCCTCGCAAATGCCCTGGGCTAAAGCCCTAAACTCTGCCTCGGCACTGCTGCGGGCTACCACTGGCTGCTTCTTGCTGCGCCATGTGACCAAATTTCCCCAGACGTAGGAGCAATACCCTGAAGTGGACTTTCGGTCGCTTGGAGACCCTGCCCAATCTGCATCTGTGTAGATTTCTAAGAGCCGATTGGCTGTCTTCTGGAATAATAGTCCCTTCCCTGGATCCCTTTTAAGGAACCTGAGAATGCGAGTTACTGCCTCCATATGATCTTCGGATGGATTGTTTAGGAATTGACTAACACGGCTTACGGCAAAGCTTATGTCCGGGCGTGTGTGAGTGAGGTAGATTAGTCTTCCTACCAAGCGTTGATACTGCCCTGTATCCACTGATTTTTCTTCAGTCCGAGGTTTTAATTTCGTGTTGGGATCCATGGGGGTTTCAGCTGGTCGGCATCCACTCATGCCGGTTTCTTGTAGTAGATCTAGCACATACTTGCGTTGAGAGACTAAAATCCCTTTGCTTGATCTTGCTACCTCCATTCCCAGGAAATATCTTAAGAGTCCCAAGTCCTTGATTTCAAATTCTTTGGAAAGGAGGGCCTTGAGTCTCCGTATTTCTTCTTCATGATTCCCTGTGAGTACTATGTCATCGACATACACGATTAGGATTATTACCTTGTTGCCGGTATAGTGTTTGATGAACAATGTGTGGTCGGCCTGAGATTGAGTGTAGCCATCAAGTTTTAGTACTTTTGTGAATCTGTCGAACCATGCTCGGGGCGATTGTTTAAGCCCATACAGTGACTTTCTGAGCTTGCATACCCTTTGTGTGATCATCCTCGAACCCGGGAGGGATATCCATATACACTTCTTCTACTAGATCTCCATTCAGGAATGCGTTTTTCACATCTAATTGGAGCAGTGGCCAATCTTGGTTTACGGCAATAGATAGTAGAACACGTACTGTATTGAATTTGGCTACAGGTGCAAATGTCTCCTGATAGTCAATTCCGTATGACTGTGTGAATCCTTTTGCCACTAATCGTGCCTTGAATCTGTCTATTCTTCCGTCTGCCTTTTGTTTGACTGAAAAAATCCATTTGCATCCAACCGTATGCTTTCCCGGCGGTAAAGGTGTTAGACTCCATGTTCCATTCTTTTCAAGTGCACTGTACTCTTCCAAGGTTGCCGCTCGCCATTCCGGGACTTGTAGGGCTTCTTGAACTGTTGTTGGGATCTGAATTTTGTCGAGAGCTGTCACAAATGCCCTGAACTTTTGGGACAGGTTTGCATAGGTCAGGTGATTACAGATGGGATGCTTAGTGCATGACCGGACTCCTTTTCTCTGAGCAATGGGCAGCTCTAAGTCTGAGTGTTGTTCCGCGGGCTTCTCTGTATATTCACCGTCAATTTGCATACTAAGATCCACTTTACCTTGTGTTGTCTCAGAATTTCTTGAACTCGGGATTGGGTCATGATGTTGCTGACCTTGTTCAGGCAAGTGCTTTCTTCGGATAAATACTTTTATGGCATCATTAGGAAGAGTGAGATGATTGGGATATGGAATTGAATTGGCTGAAGATGGACTTGGTGGAGGAGACATGTTTGGCCGAGGAGGAGGTGGACTTGGCCGAGAGCTTTCTGGACTTGATGAGGATATGTTCGGATCAGGTAGGCCAGAGAGAGTAGGAGAAAGTGAGCCATAGTCAATGAGGGAAGTCCAGTCCCAATTTTGTGGTTCATGTGTGCTAATCTCCCCCTGAAGCTCGAAATTGGAGAAGTAAGGTTTGTTTTCAAAGAAGGTGATGTCCATCGTATGATAGAATTTGTTTGTGGTAGGTGAAAAACATTTGTATCCCTTTTTGTTTGATGAATACCCCATGAAGATGCACTTGAGTGCTCTTTCATCAAGTTTACTACGATTATGAGAATGAATATGAATGAATGCAGTGCATCCGAAAATTTTGAGGGGAACTTGTGTGATCAAATGTGATTTTGGGTAGCACTTTAGGAGAGTTTCCAATGGGGTTTTGAATGTGAGTATACGTGAGGGCATCCTATTTATGAGATAGGTGGCAGTGAGGACTGCTTCACCCCAGAATTTTTTGGGAACATTGGATTGAAATAGTAGGGATCGGGCCACCTCTAGGATATGTCGATTTTTGCGTTCAGCCACCCCATTTTGTTGTGGGGTATCTACGCAGAAACTTTGATGAACAATGCCATAGGATGTGAGGTAGGGACCAAGGATGGAATTGAAGAAATCCCGGGCATTATCTGTTTTGAAGATTTGGATGTTTGTTTGAAATTGTGTTTGGATCATCTTATGGAAGTTTTTGAATATTTGGCTGGTTTCTGACTTGTCTTTCATGAGGAATGTCCAACTTATACGGGTATGATCATCTATTAATAGTAGAAACCATCTTGCTCCGGTGATATTTGGAATTTTGTTTGGCCCCCAAATATCACCGTGGATGAGGGAGAATGGATGAGTTGGTTTGTATGGACGGGGTGAGTAAGTGCTTCGGGTGTGTTTAGATAACTGGCAAATATCACATTGAAGAAACTTGGGATTTTTATTGATGAATAATGATGGAAACAAGTGTTTCAAGTACATGAAATTTGGATGACCTAACCTATAGTGCCACATTAAGATTGCACTATCTTTATTTGTGTGACTCATGGACTCTAGACTATTGGCAGACCAACATTGTGGGCTGACATCTGTTTTATTGGCCTGGGAGCAAACTGAGGTGGTGGCTGAGTTGAGAAGGTACAAGCCTGCACATAGGTCAGCACTGCCAATCATCTTCCCCGAACTCAAGTCCTGAAAAACACAAGATTTAGCAAAAAACTTAGTCTCGCAGTTGAGTTCATTAGTCAATTTGCTCACAGAGATTAGGTTACAGTCTAAGTCAGGAACAAACAAAACTGAGTTGATGGTAAGAGTCTTTGAAAGCTTTATGGTTCCTGTTCCAGCCACTTGTGAACGTGTACCATTGGCTATTCGGACTGTTTGATAGTCCTGACATGGAATATAACTTGTAAATAGCATTCTATCACCTGTCATGTGATCGGAGGCTCCTGAGTCGACTATCCACGGTGACGGTGACTTGGCTACATGGAGTGCGAGATTCCTTGTGCCCTGTGATGACCCTTCTGCCGAGATTTGTGCCTGGTTGATCAGCTGTTGCAGTGTTTCCAGTTGGTCTTTAGTGAAGGGAACCTGGCTTTGAGACCTTGCGGATTCTGCTGTGGCAATATTTCCACGGCTGTCACGATCTCCAGAGTTACGACTTGGCTTCCAATCGGAGGGTTTTCCGTGTAGCTTCCAACATGTTTCTTTCGTGTGGCCTGGCTTCTTGCAGTGGTCACACCAAGGGCGTCCTCGACGAGAGTTCTGTGGTATCCCGCGAATAGCAAGAGCGGCTGGCTCTAACGAAGACTGATTCTCTCGGGTTGCCGCAAGGGCTGATCCATCAGGGATTGAATCGGATCGTCCCATCATAATTCGCTTGCGGCTTTCCTCCCGACGTACCTCAAAAAACACTTCTCGAAGACTTGGAATAGGTTTGGTGCCTAAAATTCGTCCGCGTACTTCATCAAGAGATTTGTCCAGCCCCATTAGAAATTTGAAGATGCGTTTGATCTCTACTATTTTCTTGAAGTATTTGCTGTCATCCGAGCACTTCCACTCGTGAGTTTCGAATAAATCCAGCTGCTGCCAATACCGCGTCAAAGTGGTGAAGTAGGTGGTTACTGGTTGATCTCCTTGTCGTAGGTCCTGGAGGATACTCTCCACATGGAAAAGTTCAGCAGTATTTTCATTGCTAGAGAAGGTGTCACGGACTGCATCCCAGATTTCATTGGCAGTCGTGTAGAGAAGGAAATTCTCACCTATTTCCGTCGTCATTGAACTGATTAGCCAAGACATGACCATATTATTTTCTGCTCTCCATGTCCTAAATTTAGGATCACTGGTGCCTGGTTGGACAGCGGCACCGGTGATATAGTCATCACGGCTTCGTCCACTAATGAACATCATCATGGTCTGAGACCATTGAAGATAGTTGTGTCCATTAAGTTTGTGGCTGGTGATGGGGGGAAGATTATGGTCATTTGTGGTCTGGGGATTGGAAGAAACATTCTGAGAGACAGAGGATGTGGAGTCTCCGGAGGTTTGGTCGGATTCGGCCATGTTGAGGGTTGGCTAGAGATGACGGCTAGGAAATTAGGGTTTTGAGAACCTAGGGCTCTGATACCATGAAGTTTGGAATAATCTGAATTTCCTCTCATTAATTGAATGGACCGGAAGGGTATTTATACAAAGGCAAAAGATAAGATCTTATCCTAAGAGACCTCCTAGATATTAGGAACTACTTTACACATTTATAGGGATTAGCTTACAATAGATCCTTAGCTATTATCCCACGATTCTAGGAGCCTATCACTTATCTAATACTCGGCTAGTTTGAATTTCAACAAAAACCACTTTAGAAATCCTACCGTTGTTATCAATGAATCCCTACAAGATAATTAGCAAAGTCTGCAAACCAGGGAATTTTAGTAACATGTGAATTAGGAGAACCAATAGAGATAGAAAAATTTTGTTCATCAGGAAACTCCTCATTTATGTCCTTCTCATCCTCAATTGTATTTTGTAGCCGTGAAAGGCGGTCAGCCACTAGATTATCTGTCCCCTTCTTGTCCTTTATCTCCTAGTTGAATTCCTGAAGGAGGAGAATCCATCTTAGTAGTCTTAGCTTAGCGTCCTTCTTAGCTAAAAGAAACTTCAAAGCTGCATGGTCAGTGTAAACAATGACTCTTGACCCCATTAGATATGATCTAAATTTATCAAAAGCAAATACTATAGCCAAAAGTTCTTTTTCAGTTGTGGCATAATTCAATTGAGGACCGATGAGAGAGCGACTTCCATAATAGATAGCCTAAAAACCTTGTCCTTTCTTTGACCAAGCACGGCCCCCACTGCAGTATCACTCGCATCGCACATCATTTCGAAAGGAAGGCTCCAATCCGGTGGTACTACAATAGGGGCGGTCACAAGCTTCTCTTTCAACACCTGAAATGCTTGCAAGCACATATTAGAAAACTCAAATTTATGTTCTTTTATGAGGAGATTCGAAAGAGGTTTTGAGATTTTTGAGAAATCTTTGATAAATCTCCTTTAAAATCCTGCATGCCCGAGGAAGCTTCTAATAGCTTTAATCGTGGTAGGTGGAGGTAGATTCTTGATCACGTCCACCTTTGCCCTATCAACTTCAATCCCCTTGGAGGAGATCTTATGCCCTAGAACGATCCCTTCTTGAACCATAAAATGGCATTTTTTTCCAGTTAAGTACAAGGTTCGTTTCTTCACACCACTGCAAAACCAAAGATAAATGATGGAGACAATCTTCAAATGTCAGACCAAACAATGTAAAGTCATCCATAAAAAATTTTTCATGTTCGAGAAGATTGCCATCATGCAACGTTGGAATGTCGCTGGAGCATTACAGAGGCCGAAAGGCATTCTTCTGTAAGTAAATGTGCCATAGGGGCATGTGAAAGTTGTTTTCTCTTGGTCCTCGAGGGCAATAGGGATTTGATTGTATCCGAAATAGCCATCCAAACAACAATAATACCTGTAGCCTGCCAATCTCTCCAACATTTGATTAATAAATGGTAAGGGGAAGTGATCTTTTCTTGTGCATCATTTAATTTTCTATAGTAAATACACACATGCCACCCTGTAACAGTTCTAGTGGGTATTAATTCATTATTCTCATTTTCAACCACTGTTATCCCACCTTTCTTTGGTACTACTTGTACTGGGCTAATCCATGCACTATCAGAAATAAGATAGATAATACCTACGTCGAGCAATTTGACCACTTCTTTCTTTACTACCTCCTGCATTGTTGGATTGAGGCGCCTTTGAGGTTGAACCTTGGGCGTGAAATTTTCCTCCATGAGGATCTTATGTGTGCAAATGGATGGATTGATCCCCTTCATGTCTGCTATGGTCCAACCTATTGCCTTCTTATGTCTTCTTAGAACTTCCAGCAATTTGTCTTCCATTTCACCTGTCAATAAAGAAGAGATAATTACAGAAAATGCCTCTTGTTCTAAATAAGCATATTTGAGATGAGATGGAAGGACTTTGAGTTCTAATTTTGGCTTTTGTTCTCTCATGTCCTCGGAATTCTTTAGATTTATTTCCAACAAATTTTCCAGATTTTCGGCTTCCTCTGGACATGTGTTATCCCCTTCCATAGCAATGTATCTTTCTAGAGGATCATCCTTAAGTGCTTCCCTTTGGTACTCCTCAACAAGATCATCAAAGATATCCACCTGAAAATAAGAAGATGACAACGAGTCAGAAGGATGTTTCATAATTTTATACATGTCAAATACAATTTTATTATCATTCACTCTCAGAATAAGTTTTCCTTGTTGCACATTTGTCACTGCTCTTCCCGTCGCAAGGAAAGGTCATCCCAATATTAGAGGCACTTCTCGGTCTTCCTCCATATCAAGGACAATAAAATCCACGGGGAAAATAAATTTATCCACTTTTACTAGTACATCTTCAATAATTTCCCGTGGTCTCTTTATTGACAGGTCTGCCAATTGTAAGGACACAGTGGTTGCCTTAACTTCTCCTAAACCAAACTTCGTAAAAATTGAATGAGGCATAAGATTAATGCTTGCACCTAGATCACATGAAGCTTTATTAAAATACAAATTTCTTAAAGTGCAAGGAATAATAAAACTCCCTGGATCTTTCAATTTAGGTGGGAGCTTATTTTGTAGAATGGCGCTGCATTCTTCTGTCAACATGATTGTTCCATGTTCTTCCAACTTTCTTTTGTTGGACAAGATTTCCTTCAAGAATTTAGCATAGCTGGGCATCTGTGACAAAGCTTTAGCAAAAGGAATGTTAATTTGCAATTTCTTAAAAATTTCTAAAAGACTTAGAAAATTGCTTATCTAGCTTGTTTTGCTTGAGCCTTTGTGGGTATGGAAAAGGGGGGCATGTATTTTTCAGCTGTTAAGTCTGAATTCACCACCCCTTTTCCCTTAGGTTTCTTATTCACATTCGACCTCTCCTCTTGAGTGGTTGTTACTTCCTTCTCTTCATTAATGGTTGAGTCCTCTTGTATGCTGGACTCAGCCACCTTAGTATTTAGCTTATCCAATTGTTTCCCACTCCTTAATGCTATGACCTTAACTTGCTCTTTGGGGTTCTTTTCGGTGTTGCTTGGAAGGGAGCCTTGTGTATGCCCTAAAACCAGGTTTGTAAGTTGCCCTATTTGAACTTCTAGATTCCGAATTGAGGCTTCTTGATTCTGAAATATTGTTTCAGCCATGCTCAAGAACTTAGCCATCATATCCTCCAAATTTGATTTCTTCTCTTGAGGTGGGAATCCGGGAGGTGGTTGCTTCATATTATTTTGATTCCAAGCAAAGTTCGGGTGATTTCTCCATCCCGGATTATAGGTGTTGCTATATGGGTTGTTTTGCCTATGGAAATTTGATACAAAGTGTGCCTGCTCAGAAAGTGAACTAGATGAGACTTGGTTACCTGTTTGGCATTCATGGTTCGGGTGGCTGCCTCCACAAAAATTACATGTATTTGATATTGGGAGTTGCAGTCCATCCATCTTCTTATTGAGAGCCTCCAATTGTGCTGCCAAAGATGTGATGGCATCAACATTATGTAAACCCATAGCCCTCCTTACAGGGAGTCTCTCGGTAGGCCATTGGTAAGAATTTGCAGCCATTTCATCTAGCAACTCATAGGCTTGTTCAGGCATTTTTTCTCATGATTGTTCCACCTGCAGCTGCATCAATCATATTGTGGATTGTGGCAGTAGAACCATTATAAAATGTTTGTACCTAAAGCCATATTGGCAGCCCGTGGTGAGACACTTTCTCAGTAGATCTTTAAAGCGTTCCTATGCCTCATAGAGTGATTCATTCTCTACCTGCAAAAACATAGTAATTTCGTTTCGCAATTTTGCAGTTTTCGCAGGTGGAAAGTACTTACATAGAAATTTTTGTGCCATTTGCTCCCATGTGGTGATGGATCCTGAAGGTAAAGAGATTAACCAACTTTTTGCTTTATCCTTCAATGAGAATGAAAAAAGCCTCAGATGAATGGCATCTTCCAACATTCTATTGTGCTTAAAAGTATAAAAAATTCCAGAAAATTTGCCAAGTGGACATTGGGATCTTCTTGTGATAAGCCTCCAAATTGTACCGAGTGTTGAATCATTTGAATGATGGTCGGCTTGATCTCAAAATTATTTGCTTGAATTGTCAGTTTTCTTATGCTAGATTTGGCTCCTTCCATTGATGGCATGGCATAATCCCTCAATGGTCTGTTTTCTTCTCCATTGACTTCGTCCTCCATCACATTAGCAGGTGCGGCTGCCATTCTCCTCAAATGATGGGTTGTTTGCTCAATTTCGGGATCAAATTCTTCAAGTGTCTCCCCACTAGCACGTGTCATGCACTAGAGAAGAAAAACGTGAAAAATAAAAAAAACTAAAAACAATGAATAAAAGTTCTCAAATTAACGGGTTAAATCACAATAAGTGTAAATTTCTAACTCAATCCCCGGCAACGGCGCCAAAAACTTGATGCGATTAAATTAACACTAGTAAGTGCACCAATCGTTCAAGTAATAAAATGATGAGTAAGATATCGTTTCCCAACGAGGATTGATAAAATTAACAAATAAAGTGATTAAACTGACTATGTTATTCGAGATTGTGAAATTTGGAGTAATGTGAATTAAAACTAAATACAGATTAAAGATTAGAAAAATATAAAATGCAAGATTGAAGAAAGAATTCAATGAGAGAAAATGTTAGAGAGTTGATTTCACCTACACCTATTCGTCCATAAGCTCAAAAGAATGAATTTCAATTATTATTAACCATGAGATGGTAGAATGCCCTAATGTTTAATTATCCATATTTCGGGTCTAATCAACTATCACATATATTCTTAACTTCAAATATCCTTATTTCAGCTCTATTCTAGATTAATTCAATATGAAATGCCTTAGAATTTGTGGAATTCTTTTTTGGTTAAATCTCCCTCTCGATTACAATTTAAACTGACCACATGAATTTTCTTAAATCCCTATTCGGTTACTCATCCACTCATGGCATGTTCTATATTTTACTTGAATATTATTCACATCCAAGATCCAATTCACAATTTAATGTTTCTTATCACATAGCTTCTCTATCCGAAACATCACTATGATTAATTCCCAAATTAAATCAATGAAAAGCTCTAAGAACAATAGAATACACTCTTCACGAAAAAATAATAAATTGTAACTCATTCAAACTGAAACTCGGAAATCATAGGTTCGGATTCATCGATCTCTAACTAAAAGTATTAAACCATAACTAAATTAAATAAAACAAATAGAAGTCTGGAAGACATCACCATAGAAAATCCGAAAGAAGAAAAGAAGAACAAAGGGTAACTCCCTAATGGCCGAACGTTTTCCACTAAGAATCAGCCTTTCCTTCTCAGCAATCCCTCTGGGTCAATCTCCAAAAGCTCTGGCCGAATCCCTCTTGAAAAGCCCTGGGTTAATCTCTGTTTTTCTCTCCTTTTTTCCTCTGGAATATCTCCAAAAGCTCCCTGTTTCCCTCTGAAATTCCAGCCAAAACCCTCTGGAATATCCAGCCAAAAATCCCACTGGAATATCCCAGTGAAAAACTCCCCCTGGTATATCCCAGTAAAAATAACTCTAGAATATCCCAGTAAACACTACCCTTCGTTCCTGTTCCTGGAATTCCCTTTTAAACCTGATTCTCTCTGCCCCAAATCTCTCTCTCTCTCAGCCACTCCCTCTCTCTGCCCGGATCTTCCTCTGATTTCCATCTTCAAACTCTTGGTTAGATAGGGTTTTTTCCACTTTAGTCGCAACTTCTTATCTTCTCCAAGGTAGCCCCCAACTCCAGCGTGTAATCTCAGGAAGCACAATACCGTATAGTCTCAAGGCAGCCCCTGACTTAGCGTGTAATCTCAAGAAGGATGAAACACAATGTCGTATAAGCTGGGAATAATGTCCTCCGTGTGGGCTTCTGGGCTGAAATTTGGGCCTTTAATTGTGGCTTCTCAATTGACCGAGAATGACCTTTTAATTGTAGGCTTTTCTGGCGTGGGCTAAGACTTTGGCTTTTAATTGTGGGCTTTTTTGGACTTAAGCTAGCATATTATTTAATTTTTTACCCATAAGAAGACATATTTGTGAATAAAATACCTTAAAACTAGCTAATATTAAATTTACAAGAGGTTAATAAATCGGTATAAAACCAACTCATCAGTCCACCATTTTAGATCTTTTATCTTTTTATCGATAGAAAATTAAATAAAATGACTTTTATAAACTTATAATAATATATGAGAAGATTGGGATCCACTACATCAGAATAGCCGTTAGAAAAAAAAAAAGAAAAAAAAAAGAAAAGAGACATGTGGGTCCACATTTATTAATAATACACGTCAAGATCGTGAGATTAGCACGTTCGTGTTAACCGAATGGTTTGGTGGCATGCCTTCCAAAAAAAAAAAAAAAATTGGTAGCATTGGCTATCTATATATTCAAGAGAAGCTCGGCTAGTTGTTCCACATTTAAGCCCTTTAGAAGCAAAATTTCTGCTTTCTCGTGCATCTTTCTGTGCCAAGAGAGAGAGAGAGAGAGAGAGAGAGAGATCATGAATACCACCAAAACAAGCCAACTGCACATTTTCTTCTTCCCATACTTGGCTCATGGCCGCACCATACCAGCCTTAGACATCGCCAATCTGTTCGCTTCTCGAGGTTTCAAAACGACCATAATTCTAACACCAGTAAACGCGTCCATTTACGCAAAAACCATCGAGAGAAGCAGAAATCTGGGGTTGCAAATCCGTGTTCTCCTCATTAAATTCCCCGCTGAAGAATTTAGATTACCTAAGGGATGTGAGATCGCTCGTTTAGCCACCACAAACGAGATGTTGGCGACCTTCCATACGGCCACAATCCGCCTCGAACACCCTCTCGAGCAGCTCATAGCAGAACATCGTCCCGACTGCCTCGTCGCCGACTCTTTGTTCACATGGGCTACTCGAGTCGCCGCGAGGTTCGGGATTACGAGGCTTGAATTCGACGGGACCAATTTCTTCTCGATGTGCGCTTCGATGAGCATGAACAAGTACCAGCCTCATAAGAAGGTATCTTCCGAGTCTGAGCCTTTTGTGATTCCTAATTTGCCACACGAGATCAAACTCACGAGGGACCAACTTCCGTTTTTTATGAAACAAGATTCGGATCAGGTGCCCAAAAGAGAAGATCAAGCTGAAGAATCAGAGCTGGCAAGCTATGGTGTCATCGTCAATAGCTTCTACGAGCTCGAACGCGATTATGCGGATCACTACAGAAGGGTGCTCGGAAGGAAGGCTTGGCATATCGGCCCGACTTGTCTTTTCTATAAGGACGAAGAAGGCAAAGCACAGAGAGGAGACGAATCCTTCAATACCGACAAACATGAATGCCTAACCTGGCTCGATTCGAAGGAACCTAATTCCGTAGTTTACGTATGTTTCGGAAGTGTGGTGAATTTCAGTGACGCACAGCTCATGGAGATTGCGTTGGGGCTTGAGGCTTCTGGAAAGCAATTTATTTTGGTTGTGAGGAAAGCTAGACCGGAAGGTAGTCGAAAAGAAGAGTGGTTACCTGAAGGATTTGAGAAGAGAGTGGAAGGAAGAGGACTTATAATAAGAAATTGGGCACCCCAAGTGCTGATTTTGGAGCATGAAGCGGTCGGAGGAATCGTGACGCACTGCGGTTGGAACTCGATACTTGAAGGGATTTGCGCCGGGGTGCCAATGGTTACGTGGCCGGTGATGGCGGATCAATTTTACAATGAGAAGCTTGTGGTGCAAATCTTGCGAATCGGAGTCGGCGTTGGTGCTAAAAAATGGGCGAGGTTTGTGGGGGACAATGTGAGGAGGGAAGCCCTAGAAAAGGCCTTGAATCAGCTTATGGAGGGTGAAGAAGCAGAAAAGATGAGAAGCAGAGCTAAGGTACTTGCGGGAAAGGCGAGCAAGGCTTTTGAAAAAGGTGGATCTTCTTTCTCTGATTTTAATGCCTTGATTGAAGAATTATTGAAGCTGCGTAGATCCGCTTGATATTTTCAGGCTACAAGATACCAACTACTAAATAAAGTGTATGATCTTATGTACGAAATTTTCGTTGAGTCTTTCTGTCTTTGTATGATGAAATGTATCATTTACTTTATTGCAAGTTTCTTTTTAATTTTCATGCGGGTAAAACCATCTCCAATATAAATATTAATATCAGTTGTATATTTAACATTAAATGATATTATATTTTTATTTTCATTTGACATTTAATTGTTATTGATTGTTATGTTTATCCTTCAATTAATCATTCCAACATTTTCCTATTCAAATTATATTAAAATTAAAAATTTCATTTCAAGTCAATAAAATTAAATAAGAACATTTTCAACAAATCTATCAATACGAATTTTCACTCCAGTACACTGATTTTTTTTTTAATCTATAATTACAAAGGTACCTCGTTGTTTTGATCATATTAAAAGTGTATCTTGTAGTCTAAGAAACTAACCTCCAAGTACGCTCCCAAAACCTTTTTCTTCTTTGATGAATAGCTTCAAAAGCATCAAAGAAAAATAAATAAATTACAAAATATAGAAAAAAGTGGGAGAAACACAGATATGGATGATCCTCGGCCTTGGTTCTATGACGCTCAACCTCAGGTTCCTATATATGGTAGTGTCTGTGGCTTGATTTTTATTATTTTTTTCTTTTTTCACTGAGGGAGGTGTTGAGTGAAAATATTTATTAATGTTAAAATAATATTCCACACACAACATAATTTCACCTATTTTAGGATTTAACTAGAATAGAAGTTTATTATTTTAGTTCGACCCATTCAAGATTATAAGAATAACCTCTTAATTACAATCCCTTGGTACAAGGGAAGGCCTTTTGATTCCAGTTAAAACAGTAAATTCTATTTTCTGTGAATTTGATTTAAAATTGCGGCTGAACTCAGTGAATTTTGTCGAATTGCCTACATACCCCGTTAAGGGATTAAGCCACTTGTAGTTCGAAATTTGGTTTTGAGAATTTTAGATAATTCATCGGTGTATGACCTTATGAGAAATTAACGCACTTTGAAATTTGATTTGGTTTTATATCGATTTTCTCTTCTTTGAGAATTTTAGAATTGAATTTGGTCTTGAAACTGCACCTAAATTTTTAGGTTGCCTACGTATCCCATAGGGAATCAAATCAGTTGTAGTTCTTGATTTGGTTTTGAGAATAATTCCTCGGTGTATGACCTTATAAGGAATTGACGCACTTTGAAATTTGATTTAGTTTTGTATTGACTTTGTCCTTTATGAGGACTTTTAGGATTGAATTTGATCTTGAAACTGCACCTAAATTTTTAGGTTGCCTACGTATCCCATAGGGAATTAAGTCAATCGTAATTCTTGACTTTGAATTTAGATTTTGAAGAATTTCCCGATATATGACCATAGGAGGAATTTATGATCGAATTTGATCTTGAAACTGCACCTAAATTTTTAGGTTGCCTACGTATCCCATAAGGAATCAAGTCAATCGTAGTTCTTGAATTTGAATTTGGATTTTGAAGAATTCCCCGATATATGACCATAGGAGGAATTTAAAGATGTTTTTTGAAATTCGATTTGGAATTTTACTTTAAAGTTTGGATTTAAAAGTTGTATTTGGATAATTTCCTGGTATATGACCATATAGGGAATTAAAAGGATCCTTTTTGAATTTGGTGTTGAAAATTTTTTTTATTTGAATTTGGGATTTGAAAATTATATTTAATCACCATGAGACAATGGGCTCATCTTTTTGGGCTTAAGGATCATAAAAGGGCCCAATTTGTGCACTTTAATTTTTTAGGTATTTAATATTCTGAATTTATTTTGAGATTATTATGTTTTCTCTAATGTTTTTTTTTTTTTTTAAATTTTAGAATTCAAAATCAAATCCACCGTTTGGATAAGATTTGTTATGATTTGATTTGTTTTGATCTTCTAATTTCAAAGAGGATCGAAGTCCTTCTGCTTCACTCATTGACGTGTATATATATATAGACATATAACAAGTTACAGCAAGTATAGCTTGCTTCTGCAAAATTCGTGCACTTTTGACAAGTTACAGCACATTACAGCAAGCTTTTTTTTTTTTTTTTTGCAAAGCCATTTTAATGCAAGCCACAGATATGTGTGTGTGTGAAGGTATTGAGAAAAAGATGTACGTGATTGTTTGCTCTCATTTTTTTTTAATTTCCCTTCTTTGATTGTTTTTTAACGGGTACAGTGCGATTTATATGTACATTTTTATATAAATTATATACACATAATTTTTCATATACCGATTCTTAAAGTGTAATTCGTATAAGTTTTCTACTCGAATCACACTCAAAACAATCGTAACAAATAATTTGAGAAACTTTTAATCTTGATTTTTTGAAATCACATTTAACTTATATAGGTTTCTAAAAAGAAATCCAAGTCTTAGTGATAATCATAGGATTGTGATAAGAATAAGAAACCACACACTATGAGTGCATTAAAAATTTATTAAGAGCTGCAAATAAGAAATCTCACACCGTAAGACGTATATGAGATTTATCTTCATGGAGAGTATTAAGGAGTAAATCACAATCCCACACTTTAAAGTGTATATAAGAATGTGAGATTCATCTTCGTAGAGAGTATTAAGAAGTAAATCACAATCTCATACTTTAAAATGTATATAGGACTCGATTTAAATTAAACGTAATGTATCTATTTAATAACACAAAAAACTAAAACTATCAGTACAAAAAAAATCAAAATATTAAAATGTGTAATCATTTAAAATATCACGTATATATTTTTTCACTTCTCTGCACTTTCCTCACGCACGCTAAGTATCTCTTTCTGTTTTTTTTTTTTTTTTTTTTTAATATTATTTCACTTTTCTTCTGCACACACGCACCAAGTTTTTTTCTTTCCTCTTCACTGCACACACCTGCACAAAATCTCCAGCCCAAAAATTTTTTCTTCCCGTCCTTTCTTTCTTCCTTTATATAAAGAAATTTCATAACAGTTTTTTTTTCTACTATCCGACATTTTGCACCCACCACATTCTGCACTATTATTTTTGCTCCACGTTCCATTAAAACGTGCAATTTTTTTTTATTTTTTTACCGTGAACACGAGGTTTGAGTGAAATCAAAGTTTTAAAAAAAAATAATAGTACAAATATTATTGTCTTTTACTATTTTCATATTGTTTTAATCCTTAAGTTTAATTCACTTTTCAAGATCTACAATTCACAAATTGTCATCTTTTATAGTAGTGTCATTGATTATTTATTTATTTAGAAATTTAGGTTTGAAATATGAGTAACTCAAAAGTTAAATTTTGAGGTAAAATTAAAATGTTTTTAAAAATTTCGTATGAACTCATAAATTAAAAAATTCAAGGGGCGATTTAATGGAAAAGAAAAAGTTAAAAAAAAAAAAAGAGGACAGGATAAAATTAAAAAGACCGTCTTGAGTTAATGGGGGCGGTTGCCCAAAGTCAAATGTATTTACGAGACTTTGAAAATGGGAAAAGTGTGGGAGGGGAAATGACAATGTATGTTTCTTTGATGTTAAAACAAGTAACAAAAAAAGAAAAAAAGAAAAAAAGAGGTAACAACGTTGCACAATTAGCGCAACAAAGCTGTCTTATAAATCCTGTTAAATTGCCTTTTCATGACTCAAAAAAAGATGACGTGTAAAATAGGAAAACGAGAGGTTTTTAATTATGGGCAAATGGGGTACATATACACAGTTCAGCATGCTATGTCAATAATGGAGGAATGTTGATTAATAATATGAGCTGCTGGCAAGTCTAGCAAGTCATTCGTTCAGCTAAATAGATTAACTACCCAAATTATTTGAAAGGAGTTCTTCTATCGTAGTCTAGTAGAGGCTTTTGATTAAAAAGAAAAGAAACATGAGCATATTTGTACACTTGAAAAAAAAAAAAAAAAAAAAAAACGTTAGACGGTAGGGTGGATTGAGATCTTCATCATGATCAATGTCAAAATTCAATGTAGTGGTCACATTATTGGAAGAAGTAGTAGTTTTGGCCAAAGGGGTGTACCTCTTTGCCTTGCTACAGTTAATTCCACATTTTTGGCTCCTTAGGTGATGAAACCATAGTTCATAATTTTGATTTTTGAAAGAAGAATCGGAGTTGACAAGTTTTTATGAAACGTAACCATAGTTTATAATTTTGATTTTTGAAAGAAGAATCGGAGTTGACAAGTTTTTATGAAACCATTGAGGAACCAAAGCTGGAGAGCTACGGGGTTATCGTCAATAGCTACTATAAGCTTGAGCCGCATTAAGCCGATTATTACAGACGAGTTCTTGGAAGGAAGGCTTGGCATATTTGGCCCACTTGTCTATTCTATAAAGACAGTGAAGATAAGGCACAAAGAGGAGCAGAATCCTCTGTACTACATGAATGCCTTAACTGGCTTCGGGCGAAGAAACCCAACTCAGTGGTGTACGTGAGTTTCGGAAGA